TACATGTACAATTATGAAATTAATTGCCTAGGATGAGAATGTGATCATGGAGCAATACAGTGGGGTTTTTCCGTATGAAGTAAAGTGATTATGTTTAATTCAGAGGATTTCAACTTATATATCCGTTGTTAAATATAATTCCGACGATTCAACGTTTAGCTGGTCGCCGGTTGCACCCCTTTGACGGTAAAAGCCTCTTTTACATAATCTTTTGGACTTAACTGAGTCAGAATGACTTGTTGCCTCCGGTCACATGCATCTTGTATAATAACCAGTAACTCTGGATCAGAAGTTTATTTAACAAACGAGGAGACATGGGGAAAAGAAAAGTTGTTTTTTATAAAACAAAGTTTTTTTCTTGTAATTCGATTTAACTTTTTAAATTTTTATCGTTATGAAATTCTGAAATTGAAAATATTGATAAAAAGGTGAATCTGTGACAGATCTGAAAGCACACTTAAAAGGATACTACTTCTCAGAATAGACATCAAATTTCTCAAGTGTATATATTTATCAGTTGGACTAACTAGGTGCCATGACTAAAGAATGCAATCTCTAAATAAGACAATCAAATGACAGATGCGGCATTTCACCAATCATACTTTAGTCTCAGAAACGTTTTTTTTTTAGCTATAAAGTCAATCAGTAATAGTGATCACAGCTCACGGACGAAATTTGAGCCTTCGAATCGGCGTTTGAATATTAAAATGATTCTCATTTTCAGATACTATAGATATATAGAAAAGACATATATAAATAAATAGTGAATAGCATGCCTAGCTTGAGGTATTTTTAAAAGAATTATGCGATTTTAGTACATTTCTAGTTCTTCTGAAGACTATTTACATATATTCAAGACTTAAATTAACCCTCCAAAATGTCGCATCTGTCCCTTTAAACTAAATTATTATTGAAACACGCTTCTAAGCATTGGATTGTAGAGGGACTCTGTCCGTTGATGAACAAAGACTCATTTTAACCAAGTTAAAAAATTGCAATATTTTGGTCATTCTAAAAGGAAGTACCTTTAAGCGTCACCCAAACGTTTATACATATACAATGAAGATATAAATTTTCGTATTAAAATGCATTATATCAAATCATTAAATTTATCAAAATAAAAAAAATATATACATGCATTTTTGAAATTAAATCAAGGCGTTAAAATACGTTAAAAGACTTATCGGCAAACAAAAATCGAAATTTTGGATTCCAAAAGTCGAAATTTCGAATTTTAAAGATGACAGGACTATACGACTTCAAGTCGTAATTGAAATTGAATTTGACGTACATAATTACTGTTCGAAACTTGGTGTGAATGTTTGTTATCACCCAAGCATGAATCAGAGAATCGAAAAATATTTAGTATGAGTTATTGCCCTTGTTCTCGAAAACGCGTTCAATTTCTAGCTCGTAAACACTCTAAAAAAACACAAGTCTTGACAGATTTTGACGAAAGTTGGTGTGAGTGTTTTTACTCTGTGAACCCTGTTGAAAATCAGAATAATCGAAAAATATTTAGTATGACTTATTGCACTACTACCCTACTCTACTATTACTTTGTTATTGAAGAAGTGTGTTATACCACAATATATTCCCTTGCATATTCTGTTATAAATATGTGCTCTCAGCTTCTAAATGTCGTTCAAATCTTAACTATGAAGATAGTAATTGAACATTGATAATAGAACTGTTGATTTCAACTTTTCAAATCTGGTTATGAAATCATTAAGTCAGAAAAAGAATAAAAATCCCGACAAGCAACACAATTCCGTTAATCAAAATCTGAATGTAAAAATCGAAAGAGAATTGCCATCATGTGTTTTCAATAGAGTAAGCATGATCTGCTTTTCTCGAGACACCCGCCACTACGAGGTCAACATGATGAGATACAACCAGATCAAATTACGCTTGTCAATACAAAGAATCTAATTGTATATATATTTAAATCTTTGAAACTAATATAATGCATATATCTCTTTGAATTTTGTAACTAACAACATTGAACATACAAAAACATGTACATTCATTTAGAGATATGAATTATTTTATAGTTAAAAGTTTCGCCAACTCTAATAACAATTATTTTAAAGGTTGTTTCAGATTTTGAAGTAATAAGTTGTTTTCTCTATTTGATGCAATTTTGTAAAATGCCTTGGAAAAGTCTCAAAAACCCAAAAGCCATGTGACAAGGTCTCGTGCCGCGCTCAGATCTGTTCACAATTCTAGTATAAAGTTTTCGTTCTTTACATTTGAAAGTGATGTTTCAAAATTGCTTTTCTGAATTACCATTATAAGATCAATAGTCCTGAAAAAAAAATAATTCATTGTCCTTATTTCAAAAAGACACTTCAAAATAAAAAAACAACTGATAAAAAATGGAAAAATATTTTATTATTCAATAGACCAACAATCACAACCAAGTGAAATAAAAAGAACAAAAAGAGAGAAAAATTGTGTGTTTTGTAACTAGGTAACAAACAATGACAAAAAATATTTAAATTGATCTTCAAACAGTACAAACAGTTAGAGGTTGATCCTGTCACTTAGCAAGAGCCATTTCTTTCGAACTCTTAGCTCCATTCATAAAATTATTTAATATACAGTAATGCACATTGTAGTGTAAGAAGAACCTTTTTATTGTCGCCGCCCCTGTCGTCCGTCCACAATGGGCTTGTGAACGCAATAGAGACATTTGAATAAAATTTGGTGTGATCATTTATATCCATGGGATCTGAGACAAGATCGAATTAGACGATCTTCCGATGATCGGTTTTTGAGTTATTGCCTTTGACTTATGAAAACTCATCAAAATTTGGTTGTGAACACTACAAAGACTACAGTTTTCATCCAATTTAAATTAAATTTGGTGTTAATATTTATAATGATGAGATCTTGAACAAATTCGAATTTGGCTATCTTTCAATGAATGGTTTTTGAGTTATTGCCCTTGATTTATGAAAAAATCGTCAAAATTTGGTTGTGAACACTACAAAGACTACAGTTTTCATCCAATTTAAATTAAATTTGGTGTTAATATTTATAATGATGAGATCTTGAACAAATTCGAATTTGGCTATCTTTCAATGAATGGTTTTTGAGTTATTGCCCTTGATTTATGAAAAACACGTCAAAATTTGTTTATGAACACAATAGAGAGTACAGTTTTCATCCGATTTAAATGAAATTTGGTATCATTTATAATGATGGGATCTTAGTCAAGATCAAATTTGACAATTTTTCGAACAACGCAATTTGAGTTATTGCCCATGACTTAATAAAAATGCATCAAAATTTGTTAGCGATAAAGGGGACAGTTTACGTCAGAATTTTATTAAATAATGTGTGTTTGTTTAAATCAACAATATCTTGCACAAATTAGATTTTTGGTATGAATTGACACATATAAGTGACTGCCTTTGATATACTGAAAATGTATCAGGAAAGTGGTCGTATCTTGCTAGGCAACCACCTGTTTACAATATTGTGATTTCTTAGAACGCTTCTATAGGGTTTGCTTAGCCAAATAAACAAATGTGAAAATGATGTAATGAAATGAAAGTTTGAAATGGAGCGTTATAGAGTATCTTAGGAGAAAGGTCACTTAGTATGTGTCAAAGGGAGTGCATTGCGATTGGACATAAAGTGCAGTAAGTCGACATAATTCCTAATAATCAAACATCCATTATACATTTTTATTATACGCCCACATTGGTAATAATTGGATGAACGATTTCAATGTTATTGCCGTTTGGCTTTTAGGCAGGCTATAGACTACAGCCTATCCGATATTGCTGAAACTTAGTATGCATGTATATGTTGATGAAATATCGGTCAAGTTTGCATTTTGTCATAATCAGATGAATGGTTTTGGAGTTATTCCCCTTGATTTTGTAAAAACCCTACAAATTTGGCTTGTAGTCATGATGCAGAGTGTAGTTTTTATCTGATCTCGATGAAACTTGGTATGTATGTATATATGGACAAGATCTCAGTCAAGTTGAAATTGGTAACAATCGGGTGAACGGTTTGGAGTTATTACCCTTGAATTAATTCAATGCGTCTAATTTGGACTTGTAGGCCTGATAGAGACTACATTTTTCATACGATCTTGATGAAACTCAGTATGAGATCTCTGTAAAGATTGAAATTAGTAAAAATAGGATGATTGATTTCACATATTAAACCACTACAGACTTTGTTACTTTGTTATGATTTCTGACAGCTGGTAGTGGACGTATGTTTCCTTGCCTGGCAAGCTATCTTAACAGATTTATGTTCATTGATTTAAACGTGCACGACCACGTAAATTGGATTTTTGAGCCTTCACAGTTTAAGATATAACATATTTTGTTGTATCATCTTACTATTTCACCATATTCAGACACAGAGTGTATGTCCAGAGAGAACAAGCTGTCGTTGTAGATGTGCATATCATTTACATATTGCGTCCATTATGGCGCAATACATTCGGGTACAATTCAAAACATTCTCTTGCAAAAAAGACTGTTTATGTTTAAGTTTTGAATCATTCCAGGTGATGTACACATAGGTTCCTTTAATCTTTTAACATGTCATTAAAAAAGCCTCGCAAAGATACCGATTATCAACAACACCATAACAATCTAATTCAAAAACTTATGCATTTCAAATGTTATGCAGCACGTCTTTGGTCTTATGATAAGATATCTACGTGTGAGCCAACTCAAAATATTGTCTATCATTCGAAATCATATATAACTACAATAAAGAAAATACAAAAAAGAAATTCTCATCAAAACAGGTAGTTGTTCAGACACTTGTAGGCTACAGCAGTCAATCGTCGTCTAGTTTTAAGCTGAATTGGATAGAGGAAACATGTTCAATATTATGTTCCAAGGGAATTTTGAATATGACGTACCGTACAAGATTTAATTAGGGGAACGAACAATGGTATAAAAGTCAAAATGAATCAACAATAATAATGATGATAATAATGATAAAAGATATCTAAATTGAGCTCAGTGCACAAAAACACATTTTCGATGACGCCGTCCTTTTGGTATGCCTAATTCTCGTTGTCTTGCCAGAAATTCCTCTTCATCGTAAGGTATGGTTACTTCAACACGTGGAATGTCGTCTGCACTGACTGGTCGTCTTAAACTTGGCGGGGAATTTACAGGGGACATAACCCCAGGAAGAGCGGGACTTGATACACAGCGCGCTATAACTGCGAATGGATTATTGGGTTCCCCCACCACCAGATTTAGTCCCATTGTTTCATTATTACACGGTAGCATCTTTTTGATTTTTTTCCGCAATGACTGTCTTTTATGCGATTGTCTTTGCTGAGGGGATGTGTTCGAAAACGCATCCGAGGCTAAATCGGGAACACTTGAGCAACGTTCGTTTCCTTGACATAGTTTATTGCGCTGGATAAATCTTTTGGTATTGGAAAATTTAGCGATTGCCTCAGAACAGTCTTTTCGCCCACAATAAAGTGCCCACTCTTCTGCACATAACTTTCTACCGTAGTCTCGAAGCTTCGGATCTGCACCTGAAAAAGGATATCTGTTAAAGGTGTTGTAAGTACAAGTACTTGATGCCTTGAAATATTAATAGCCCCAAATGTACACTACACTACAATACAATACAATATGCTAAATATAAGATTTTCAATTATATCTGCGATATCATATTCTAAAGATAGCCTTGCGAAGCAAAGTGACATACGCCCACCAGCAACTTTGATTGCAAATCGTTGTTTGTAGCCTGTCCAGTGAGCTAAAATTGCACTATGTGTCTAATAGAGTGAATACAAAAAGTGACATTTTGGTGAAAAATTATAAGATCATCCTGAAAATTGATAGGTATAATGTTCATAAGGACATTGAACTACAAAATAAAAAATCAAAAGAATCCATAAAGAATTGTAACCTGTAGAGTAAGCACGAGATGCACAATATAGCTAATACAGTGAAAACGCGAAGTCGGACATACGGAGCCCCTAAGGCGCAATTTTCCATACTTTTATAAAATATTTCGTTTTGACGAAATAATTAATTCGTTTAAACGAAATAATTTATTTGTTTTAACGAAATAATATATAATACATTTTTTATTTCGTTTAAACGAAATAATTAATTCGTTTGAACGAAAAAAGTTATTCAATTAAACGAAATAATTATTTCGTTAAAATTAACTAAAAAATGTATATCGTTTAAACGAAATATATGACGTTATTTCGTTTAAACGAATTAGTTATTTCGTTTCATCGGATATCTTTAAATAAATTTAATTCAATACGTCTAATATCGTGCTCGTTATAACACTATAAATGCGTTCAATTACACCTGCGTTAAACAATTTAACTAATTATGTCAAAGATCGTGATTGTTATAGTATTAGAAATGCTTTTAAAAACGTCTGCATCTATAATAAGTTCAATACTGTGTTAGTTATATTATTAGAAATACTTTAAGCAATTTAATTGAATGCGCCCAATAACGTGCTTGTTATAGTACTAGAAATAATTTCACGTCCGCGTTATTAAACAGTTGTATCAAATATGTCGAATATCGTGCTAGTGAATGCTTTCAATTACTTTCGCGTTAAATAATTTAATCAAATACGTCGGATATCGTCCTAGTTTTGGTATTAGAAATGCTTTCAATGACGTTCTTTTATTTTCGTCTTCTTTAAAACAATTTAATTAAATACGCCAAACCTAGCTGTAATATTCAGATAATCCCCGCATAGGTAACAGATAATACCTGGTAAATTTTTCAAACCAATTTCCCTGCCATTGATGCAGGTCGATGGACCTGACATGGAAAAAACGCCTGGTTGTTCGGAAAAAGAGCAGGTTAATGCCACTGTCCTGGCAAAATTTCCCTCACAGCACGCTACAGGGCGTTCCTCTCATCATTTAGAAGCCCAATTAAACTCCATACAAACTTCAAATACTTCCGCGTTATAATTGGGAAAAAAACTGTTATCTGCGCTTTATGTTTTCATTCAATTACGCACCATGATAAGTAGATTTTTCCAACTTCTTTTGATCAGAATAGTCAAAGGATAAGATACAACATGCCTACATCATTTATCAATAGTAGGTAGGTAAGTAGATGACAAGTTATTTATCAATAGTTTTATATGCAAAACTATATAGCTAGACAGGATTAGCAATTATAGTATATTATATCATTGTGCCAATCGATTTAGCCTACATAGAGGGTTTAATGTCAAAGACTGAAGAAATTGATTGGACATATTTTTTCGTTGGTCCTTTGTTGAAAGTTAATGAAGTAAGCTTCTGAATTTTAATTCCATGTACAATTATTTCCAAGATGCAATTCTAGAGCCCACACTACCGCCATATTGGAAATGTCTTTGAAACCTTTGAAATGAATGTAATGAATAAACCAGTGGTTCGAGATCTACAAGCGGATGTTAAATTAAAGTCTATTGTGGAAGTCATTAATCCAATACAAGAAGATTCTAGAATTTAATGGTTTCTCTCCCTTTCTTCTTTCTCAATCCTATTAACTCTTGTCATTTTTCCATCTTTTCATTCCCTTTTAACCAGGACATAAAATACCCGCTGTTTCTCAATGTCAATAATTGTAACCTAATGCATATAATTCGATTTTATTGCTCACAAGCCTTGTTTTTCTTGTACTTTATACAATCAGATGAATCAGCACTTAAAACTTCTGCACTTTTAACTGTTTAATGTTAGCATCTTAAAGGGATATAGTCGTCTACATATTTGCTTTCCCACCGAAACAGTTCAATTTTAGCTGTCTGAATCACTTATACAAACTTAAAGAAAGAGAAATGGGCTACTTACAAACGGAACTTAATAACGGAACTATTGTCTCTGCGAGGCTGTTGGTGTATCTAGAGCTTGGATATGAGCTTCAAAATAGTATTGTTAGTCTAAGGATAACTTTGCGTTAATTTAAATATAAATATGAGTAGACATTATCAATAAATCTAAATAATGTAAACTTACAAAAATTCATCGCAAGGTCATTCTAAAATTATCAGTACTGTTCTGAATTTCACATTCTAATTCACTTAAATAAAATGGGGAAAATACATACATGCGCTAAAATGCTCATCAACATAATTGAAGACAGTTCCTAAAATTTCGTTCCTTCTTACCTGCATAAAGTAGCAGTCGGGCGCAATCGGTACGACCTTGTATTGCAGCTTTCATAAGAGCTGTGAATCCTAATTTGTTACACTGATCAATTCTGATACCTTTATACTCCTGTAGTAATAGTCGCACCACATCAGTGTGACCTGAAACACAAACAGGTTAATTAAGCTGGTACAGGGGCGTAATCTGGTTTTAATTTAAAGGGTACCTTTCATTTCATTGACCAGTAAGCTCTTAAATGATAAGCTGCAAAATCATTAGTCCAACAAGGGAAGTAAATCTCTATGTATTTAAAGCTACTTACCAGCTTGTGCAGCGAAGATAAGCGGGCTATTTCCTTCTTTATCTGGTATGTTAATATCAATCTCGGGAGCATCAGATAAAATATCTATGGCTTGGAATAAACCTATCGCACAAATGTGGCTCATACCCGTCTGAAATATAAAAAAAATATGAATATTTTCATTTAACTTCAGACAGATTAGGTTAAGATTGCTGGTTAACTACTAATGCTTTTCCCTTACCCTGATGTTATTCTCTCTTCCATCAACTTTAAGCTTATGCTAGCTTTGGAATTCTTCCTATTCACATGGACCAACGTTTTCCTCACTTTAGGAACTAGTTCTCTAAAATTAGTTTTCGTAACTCTATTAAATTGATGTTTGCCTGGAATTTGTAGTTTTTCAAATTAATTCCAGATGTTTAGCAATCTAATGTCAGAGGAAATTGTGTCAAGTTACTGAAAATACAAATGTCAAGAAGACGAGAAAAATGTGAATGCTAGAAATAGTACAAAATCTTTTGCATTGTTTGGACCTCAGGAAGGATAATTTTAAGTAGACTTCTCTGGAAATGAATTATACATTAGAATTTTAATATTGAATGATTATAATATCATCATGGGAAATAGTTATTTGACCACATGAAGTTCTCAAAAGATATCACGAAATATTTAGCAGTACAGTAACAATTACTATTATGAATATTCAACATTAAGTCTTACACTTTTGTTGAACTTTTATACTGTATAATTTTACCAAGTTTCGTCAAAATCTGTCAAGAATTGTGCCTTCTAGTGTGTTTACAGGCTAAAACTTGAACCCGTTTTTAAGAACAAGGGCAATAACTCGAACTTCATATTTTTTAATTCTTTTGATTTTCAATAGAGTTCGTCCTTGGTTGATAAAAAACACTCACACCAAGTTTCGTCAAAATCCATCAAGAATTGTGCCTTCTAGAGTGTTTACGATCTAAAAATTGAACGCGTTTTCAAGAACAAGGGCAATAACTCACTAAATATTTTTCGATTTTTCTGATTTTCGATAGGGTTTATTCTTGGTTGATAACAAACACTCACACCAAGTTTCGTCAAAATCTGTCAATAATTGAACCTTCTAGAGAGTTTACAAGCTAAAATTGAACACGTTTTTAGGAACAACGGCAATAACTCATACTAATTATTTTTCGATTATTCTGATTTTCAATAGGGTTCATCCTTGGGTGATTAAAAACAATCATATCAAGTCAGTTAAGAATTGTACCCCCTAGAGTGTTTACGAGCAATTGTGGACGGACCTACAGAAGGACGAATTTCATGTGGGTGTATGAAAAGTGGAAAATTCAGTGGATAATGCAAAGATTAAAGTTTCATTTTCCAGATTAAAACGTTTAATGCACAATCATCAATTTTGACGCTCAAGGATTTCACCAGTGTAGCATTCTATTCCTAAGAATCTTGGGCAGCTGTCGTTGTTTACATGTAGGCGTTTATGAAAGGAAATAATCCTATAATTCTGGAAGTTCAGAAACCAAGCCATTGTTAACAATTGTGACAGACGTTTGATATGCTTTCAAGGTGAGGTGAAAAATGAATAGAGCAGCTGGTGAAGATATGACAGAGATGGTGTAATTATATATAAAATATGAATCAATAGAGACCAGCAATACCATTTCAAACAGTATCTTTTAGATATAATTTAAAGGGCATGTTCAGTCTACGTATTTCGCATGGTGACAACTGACATAAACCTATCCAACATATTATTCTAATCACACGTCTGACATACACCTATCAAATCCATTATTCTCATCAGGAGAAAACTGACATATACATTCAATTTATTATTGTCATTTTCTTTTTCGTACATCCTTGTTAATTTTTTAAATATTGTACGGCGACGTAAGGAAAATCTTGCAAATAAACCGTAACCAACTAACCATTAATACACAATGTTAGGTTCCAACACGTGGACATGATGTCCAAATACTGACTTATACTTACAACAACCAAGTAATCAGTACAAAAGGAGGAATCTGATAAAACCTATCTAAACTATAATTCAAATCACGAGGAGGAAAAACTGGCATAGCCCTATTATGACGCTAAATATAGGATTAACACTTTCCTTTGTCTTCTTTTATCTCGCATCGCCAGAATAAACCTGAAACCACAAAACTCTTATTTCAATATTTACAAATTTCTGTCTATTGAGTGTCAATGTACAGAAAGGAGGCCATAGATATATTCCGCTTCAACAACAATAGTTGACAAATTGTTGATCACAAATCTAAACCATTGCTTATATTTCCTAGAACTAAAAGGACAGATTCGCCATCCGTCTGACCAATCGTACCTTACTGTTTACACCTCACCGTCTAAATGTGTGCCAAGATTAATTATCCGGGTTCGAAAGTTAAAATGACAAATCATCTTTTCTTGAGACTATGACTTGAGACTTTGCATATATTGAAGACCCAAATCAACCCTTGAAAACCTTTAAACCTGCAGCCATTTTAGAAACTGTGTTTAGTGTTTTTTTTTGTAATTGTTGTTATTGAGCTACAAGCCTCGATGTCAACATCAACAGTAGAAAACAATAGACCAAACAGGTAGTTATGTAGTTGAGAGATTCATAAATAGCTACCAAACAAAAACAATTGATAAAATAGAATGTTGATAAAATTCAAAAAGACCGACTGAAAAAATAACTTTGAAAAACTAACTGAAAAAAACAACCTCGATAAAACAAAGTGGAAAATACAGCCTTAAAAAAGCAAGTGGAAAATACAAACTTGATAAAACCATCTGGAAAATACAACCTTAATAAAAACCAATAACCTCGATAAAATCGACTATAAAATGCAACCTTGATAAACTGACTGGAAATTACAGCCTCAATAAATCCGTCTTGAAAATACAACCTTGATAAAACTGACTGATAAATACAGAATCAATAAAACCCTTTTGAAAATGAAACCTTGATAAAACCGACTTCAAATAAGGAGAACCTCGCTAAAATCCACTGCAAAATGCAACCCTGATTAAACCGTCTGGAAAGTACAAACTTGATAAAACCAAATGGTAAATACAACTTTGGTAAACCGACTTCAAATAAAAGAAACCTCCATAAACCAATTTGAAAATACAACCTGATAAAACTGACTGGAAATACAAAATTGGAGGAGAGGATTACAAGATGTAGTTACAGAACTGTTGATTACTGCGAAGAGCTGTGATAGAATGTTAATTTAAAACTCTAGTCTCAAGGGACGGGTAGGGAAATTAATTGGAAACGCGAGAGAGAAAGAATCTGTTCACGTGATGACAGTTAAACTACCAATATGTCAATCAATCTTAACTTAATTGGCACCTGTCTATCATTCCGGCATTTACTTTAGGGTTCAGTTGGGATTTGTTACCAGAAACATCTAAACTAACGATACTCTTAACTGTAGTATCCTGATCTTTGATGGGTTAATATCTACTACCAATATGATTTACCGATGTTTGTTTTGTGTTCTAAATGAAACGTCGCACTATTAAAAAATAATGCATTCTTACACGATATCGAACCACTATATAAGCACTCGAGATTGTGCATAAGGTGCAAACTCTCTCACTTTATCTGAACATAGTGATCATCACCAACACAAATATAAAAATTTGTTGAGTGTGCAACACATTGCCTCGAGTACACAAGGCCTCGATCGTAGCAAGCATTCCAATACCGACTCGACACAGTGGTTGTCTTCATGCTGTTAAACGTTCAATAAACGTGCAGTATTCGCACAATTTGAGCGGTCCAAGGAAACGGTCTTAAGCAACATATAGTTCGGATGACCATGCATGCAATAGTCGACCGAGTGTAACAATGTTACCCTAAGATCGCAAACTGCATTGACAAAAGGCTATGGACAAGCATAGTTCGAAGCCGGCTAAGATAATTTTATCTGATGTTGGGGCCCATACTGACAGCAAGTCTTCTGTCGGTAGTGGGAGTGCTTTTTTGTAAACCTAGGTATAAGAATAAATCAACGAGGTTCTAACTAGTCTATGACTAGACCGAAACATATGTCTCTATTCGCTATTTGGAAGGTGAGGGAACTTAAAACCTATTTAGATACCCCGGATCTGAAAAACCCAGGTATATTTGGAAAGATGAATAGTTTTGTAGTTCAGCCATACCATCATTTTCTCCCTACACCAATAATGTCATGTCTCCGGTTCCATCAAAGTTTTTTTTGGCAAAACTGATCTAGCATCGGCCACTTTTTAAAACTGCGCGTGTAGCCAAAAGTTCAAAGATCACAGGGTCACGTGACTCACAAAACGAAAGTTACGGTGATGCCCAACACTAATTTACAATCAACAAGGTAATTAAAGGTAATTATCTAATATTATATTAGAGAAAACACATCTTTGGAGGTATGGAATCCCCATTTAAAGTGGTCTTTTTCTTCTGACTCTACTCCAGCTGACAACTGTCAAAATATCCATCAGAGGCTGGAATAGAAGCAGATGTTTCGGACTAGTCTATGACAAGCTTATGGTGCCATTTGTCTTGCTGAAATATGAATAAGTATCAGTATTTCTCCATGAAAAAACTAACAAAAGGCTTACCCGTCCTGATCGATCTCGTTCATTTAGTTCATCTTCGGTGGGATTTTCTTCCACTATGGACTGAATACAATCTATGTCGTTCTCCAAACAGGCTTCCAAAAACGTCAGATCTTCATAGCCATATCCAAGAAATCCACAGTCATCTTCGTCGTCTGTTTCACTGTTCATTGTGATCGTCTGCAAGTATAGAATATAGAACAATAGAAATATGTGTGGGTGACGGGACTCCTGCTTATAGAACACCTTACTATAGTTTAAATTCTCAGTGTAGTGGTCGACTGTTCAAACCATCGGGCATAATCTAACTCCAATAAACTAAATCTAATCTAAAAATGAGAAGAAAACATTCCCTGGCGGTTCTTTACTGTTGTCCTAATGTCAGTTCCTCGAATTTCAAAATCATTACGTGACGATAAAAATCCACACCAGCAAAACAAATCTCGTACAAAGAATGACAAACAGGAGTCAAAGTTGTATAGTAGTGGACTTCTCCAAAGGATGTTGGACAGAGGTGTTTCGAAAGAGTAAGCATGGTCATTGGTCACCTTCGTTTATTTTTTAATTGTTGTGTTAACTCATTTAAAATGTATTACTGAACTCACCTATCTGAAGCGTGCGAAACGATTATATTTTCATACCAACATTACCTCGAAATGGTGATAATCAGAATAGAACATTTCCTTGACAATGTTTCAATCAAAGACGATCACATGATTGCCAATAGATTTCATCCCTACATGTGCCTTAGATCCATTTGTGTAACCATACAGAACGTATCAAGTAAATAAGTGTCATACCTGACAAAATATGGCAGTTCGTTTCATGTCAAAATATACAGAAATACACTCTGATTAAAGGTAAGTCGAGATCACTTCAGCTGTGCCTTAATTGCAGAATGGTCTCAATATCAACAGTTCAATATAAACATATACAATATGACATGGTTACAAGATGTTCTTTATTTTTGCATGATTATAATAAAAATAATAAAGAGGAAGGAAAAAAAAGGAATAAGGAATATAGGAATAACTTTGGTTCATTAGAGACCTGTTTACCTGAGAGTCCGCTGCCAAATTCCCTGACATTGAGGCCGTGATTTCCCCACCCATTAACAGCTAGATGACTGGGATTTTGAGGAAAGATGACTAATTGAATGTCTTAGAACCCACGACTATCATTTATCGCAAAGAAAAATGATGTATCGACTTTCTACAGATAAGGATGGTCCATTGGTGTGCTTGTGTGCTTCTTATTAAACAACATACACCACCTTCTCCTGGGTTACAATTTCGCTGATTGTATTGTTTCTTTATAACACAGCAAGCATAACTTAACTAACTAACTAAGGGTTAGAAGCGGGTGAGGGTGGTTCGTTTATGTACTTTTGCCTGTTTATTAAACAACAAGCACCACTTACCTGTGTGTAAAAACCAGTGGATGATACAATGTTGTGCTTTGTCAGCCTGTGACCTATAAGCTATTGTACATTTAATAACAGGAGTGGAATGAGTCTTGGTCTAATCCAGGAAGTGGATGTGGTCAGGATATAGTGGCTACAGATTAGGTCCTTGTAAGAAAATCGTGGTACGAAAATATCTCAATTAGAAATAAGTAACTTAATTCTTCAAGCTCTAAAAATAATCATCTTTGATTAATCTATCAATTAGGAAGTAATTATTGATTCGGAGAATGTCAATCTACCCTGGCCAAGATTGTCTAATACATTGTTGTTCAAGGGGCAGCGCTTGAAGTTTCCATGTTACAACCATCATTATAAATCACACATAATATGAATCGTATATAAGTATTACCTATTTTGGTTTCAACGTCAGCATAAACGTAGTCATCGGGTTCAAAATAGCTAATATGCCCAAATAATCGATTATTGCTAATATAATAATATATTATATTACATTAAAACATAAAACATTGTGTGAACACTGCAAGTTCAGAAGGCCAGGCAAAATATTTCATAACAAGGACTTTGTTTATATCAATTTCTACTCTGACTACATTTCTCTTTTTTATAGTTTTCGACAGCAGTGTCTAATCTCTAAATAGTAGCCATGATATGACAGTTAAGATTATTAATTTGCACCCACCACAAGCTCTGGTCTCCAGAACATTGAGTAACTCAAGATATAACGGTTATCAATTTCAACAGCAAGCGAACTAAAGACTTTGTTTGGAAGCTATTATAACCCACAATATGCAGTTACAAACAATTATAGTTGTGGAGACTCTGACCTAGAGACAATTGTGTAACAACTTTCTGGATAAATTTACAAACTATGTTATCATGTTATAAACTTAAACTCAAACTAAGTTCTGATCTCAAAAAATGTCTCAGAAATTTGTATAATAACCTTCATTAAATGAAAAAATAAATATCAATGAATTTACCTTACAAATGAGACACATATCCACAAGACATCAACCAGTAACAGTTCACAAGTCCAGAATAAAGTAGAATAGTGAAAAATCTTTACAATTTTGTCACCAGAAGATATTTCTTTTTCCTTTTAGTGAAGAGGTTCATTATTAGATCATTAAAGGACGTGTTTCGTGATAAAATTAATGTAGCTAAGGATACAATTTACATCCAGCAGAAAATCCATAATTAAGTGTTAAGAAGGAAATGGTAAAAAAAACTTGTACAACGGTCTGGTTAGATCGAAATTTGAAGTGAACCTTATAATGTGTCTGGATATAATGGTGGTGTCTAGTATCTCAACTACTAACAAGCCAATCTCAGCACATTATTACAAGAAAGCCGTCCTTCAAGTGAATTAAAAGCTTAGAGAAATAAAATTATCAGTATGATGGGGTAAAAGCTGTAACCTTTCTTCTGATCGATCATTAATGACTGGTTGTAGGAACAACATTAGATCTTTATACAGTACATTACTGCTAGTTTTACACAGAGGAAGCTACAAGAGAGGAAAGTAGGTACTCTTACTGTCACAAACTGTGCTTGTTGAAAATACCTCAGTGTTGGGTATCAACTGGAGCATACTGGGTGATTTTTTGACACCGTTTATTTCTTAAGGATTTTGAATTCTTAATCAACTATTCAAAGCAGGTGTAAATTCAGATAAATGATAAATAAATGTCACTTAGTAATTTTGTATGCCCCAGACCTAACTTTGTTTTCATATGACACCGATAGTGTAATAGACTTGAGAAATAAAAAACGTTGCCTTTCTGTAGATATGAATTTGTTTTTATTTTATCATAGACGAAACGACACGTGCTTTCAATGATGTAGTTTTCTCATCTGGAATGAAGGTTTTGAAATGTTAGCCTTCTGCCTGTGATTAAGTCAGGTTTCAGTGTGGCGTCTGTAATACTACCGGTTTTGCTATGTCAAGAAGAATAACTAGTTAATAATCAAGTGAATAATGAAAGAAAAATTGTCTGAGAAAACTATATGGTATCATTGTTGAATCAATAGAAATGACAAGTGTTGGTTCTAGATAATATACTCCTTCCGGTTAACATAACCTCTCCTTTTCTAATCTCTTCAAACAACCATTTCAATAATCACATCATTTCATAACCTTATGTAATAATACAACTAAGAAATAAACCTTTATAACACTATCAATAGAGAAACATAAGAACTACAAAAAATACAAAAAAATTCATTAGACATTTGAAATGTCCTCAAAGGATACCGCTATTCCAGTACAGTACTAAAAAAGTAGGAGGGATGTAGATTGTTAAAGAAGAGGTGGGGCAATTTGGAGGATTGTGGAGTAGAACGTGAGAAGATTGTATAATAGATAGTGAGAAGATTGTAGAAGAGAATGAAGAGAAGATTTTAGAAGAGAAAGTAGGAATATTGTAGAAGACAACGTAAGAAGATTGTAGAAGAGAAAGTAAGAAGATTGTAGATAAAAAAGTAGAAAGATTGTAGAAGAGAAAGTGGGAGGATTGTAGAAGAGAAAGTATGAAGATTATAGAAGAGAAAGTGGGGAGATTGTAGAAGAGAAAGTAGGAAGATTGTAGAAGAGAAAGTGGGAATATTGTAGCGGAGAAAGAAGGAAAGATTGTAGAAGAGAAAGTATGAAGATTATAGAAGAGAAAATGGGAAAATTGTGGAAGAGAAAGTGGGAAGATTGTAGAAGAGAAAGTAGGAAGATTGTAGAAAAGAAATAGGAAGATTGTAGCAGAGAAAGAAGAGAGGATTGTAGATGAGAAAGTAGAAAGATTGTAGAAGAGAAAGTGTGAAGATTGTAGAAGAGAAAGTAATAAGATTGTAGAAGAGAAAGTAGGAAGATTGTAGAAGAAAAAGGAGAGAAGATTGTAGAAGAGAAAGTGTGAAGATTGTAGAAGAGAAAGTAATAAGATTGTAGAAGAGAAAGTAGGAAGATTGTAGAAGAGAAAGGAGAGAAGATTGTAGCCGAGAAAGAAGAGAAGATTGTACCAGAGAAAGAAGAGAAGATTGTAGAAGATAAAATAGGAGAATTGTTAATAGAAAGTGGGAATAAAGTAGGATAAAAAGTAAGAAGACTGTAGAGGAAAAAGTAGGGAGAGAAAGTAGGAAAATTGTAGAAAAGAAAGTAGGAAGATTATAGAAGAGAAAGTAGGGAGATTGTAGAAGAGAAAGGAGAGAAGATTGTAGCCGAGAAAGAAGAGAAGATTGTACCAGAGAAAGAAGAGAAGATTGTAGAAGATAAAATAGGAGAATTGTTAATAGAAAGTGGGAATAAAGTAGGATAAAAAGTAAGAAGATTGTAGAGGAAAAAGTAGGGAGAGAAAGTGGGGAGATTGTAGAAGAGAAAGAAGAGAAGATTTTAGAGGGGAAAGAACAGAAGATTGTAGAAGAGAAAGCAACCCTCACTCAGTACAATTCACCTTTATACTGTATCGGAACTATCTCAGACTTGGTGTATATTATATTGTTATATATCAAAATTCTCGCGTTGGCAATATTTCAAACCAAAGAACTAATATTGATAAAGACAGTGGAATAAAATAATTATTTCTGTAGACATTTCTTTATCACCATAATATAACACAGAACTTTTATTATACCATATTAAAATCCCTCGGTTGCCGAGAATATAATAGACTTGGGATCTAAATCTCCAGATTTAGACACATAAAATCTATACTTTCAGACATTCAAATCTTTTTGAATTAAATTTGATTAAACATTTGAAATAAACAACCTATGTTTTTATAATGGAAATGTAAAAATAAATTCACAAACAATATCTTTGATATTTGTTTTTGTCGAATGTTCTTTGTTTTCGTGCTTCATATATAATTAAGCTTTTATTTGTGAGCACTATAATGTTCTGAGTTCACATATTATGATCAATTGTCCTCGTGCCTTATTAATTGTCACAAGTGAATTCTGTATGAAATTCAAACTTTCCTGTCAAAATATTCGTCCAAGATGGATATTTAGACCATATTGAAAATGTAAATGGCAGCCAAGAAAACAAAACAACAATCATATTTAAACTTATATCTTGTTAGATATTAATCATTTTCTTTGCATGCTTTTTTTTGTTTACTCACAAATACGTATGTATTGTGCTGTAGATAAGTTTTCGTCGCACAGCTCAGTATTTTACATAAACACACTGAATTATGCTCGTTTACCGGTTCTTCGCCTTACAGAAGTCGAAAATCACCATTTTGTGTTTCAATTTTCATTAAGATAGGCTAGCACGTTATTATAAAAAACATTCATATCAAGACAAATGATGGTTGTTGAAACACTCACAGAAAAATGATTTCCTATATCTTCGTGTTCTCTTTTTACCGAGAAAAACAAATGGAACACTCGATGTGTCACTCAAGTAGAGGATGTGTTTGAACAGCGTGCCAGAACCTTGCTCTCGTGTCAATAGAAATATCAAGATCGATGGTGTTTAATGAACTCAACCCCGAGGCTACACAGATTCTACCTTTAACTAATAGTTCCTTAGATAATTTACTTGGAAATCTCGAGAAATGACCAACCACTTCTTTGCTACCACTCAAATTAAAGTGACACTATAATATACTTAACTGTATTTGTTTTACTTTTGGACTTACAAACGAAAAAACGCGGGGATTCTGTACCATTTTATCAATCTGGCTTCTCCTTTGAGGAGAAAAGTCTACTGATGTAGATAGCGAGATACAGATTGACAAAACAAAAGCAACCAATTGTTTCTATGTAACAAAGTATCTAATTTTTGAATCTTTATATTAATCTCGTCTTTATGATTGGTCAAGAATGCGTTTCCAAACACAAATAATTGACTTTAATTCATGTATCTCACGTAAGTACGTAGTCCATCAGCATTCAAAATTTAGAGGGTTGAGCATTGCTATTTGTTTTGCCTTTATAAAAAAATCCGCTTTATTAAATACAGAATTTCACATAACCTTTAAAATGTGATGCTAAACAATTCTCAAACAATAAGAGATTCGAAATACAATTTACGACGTTTAATGTAAATATTAACCTAATATAACATGAAAACTAATCCTCGAAGAAATGGAGTTTTGTCATTATCGTATGATAGAGAATAAAATTTAATAAATGTTTTGTTTCCATTTTATTTTTTTATGAGAATCTAAAATTTTTAAACTCCACAATTCCCATCTGAATTCAGAATAGGATTTTCATAATTACATCAAGCTAGAAAATTTAATTCACTATAATTGCTGTGCTACTGTACAATTATCTAAATAAAGCACACTAATTTTTCACACAATGACTTTAAAGGAGCAACCAATGACAAGAGGAACCGATGAGAAAAAAAAAACCCGTAGTAAAGAAAAAAACAATCCCACATATCTGAACTGTATTGAACTAACAAAGGTAAGAAACGCCATGCCCGTTTACTTTTGGTAAAAAAAAGTTCATAGTAAAACAACCACTGATAAACAAAAGTACAAATGAGAACAACTTATGCCAAATGGGAACTACGAAGAGTAATCACTGGTAAATGAGTATCAACAGAGCAACGATTGGTAAACATGAACCAAAAGAGCAACGAATGGTAAACATGAACCAGACAAAACAACCAGTGGTAAACATGAATCAGCAAGAGCAACCAATGGTAAACATGAACCTGAAAAAAAAAACCAGCGGTAAACGTGAATCAGCAAGAGCAACCAATGGTAAACATGAACCAGAAAAAACAACCAGTGGTAAAAATGAATCGGCAAGAGCAACCAATGGTAAACATGAACCAGAAAAAAGAACCAGTGGTAAACATGAATCAGCAAGAGGAACCAAAGGTAAGCATGAACCAGAAAAAGCAACCAGTGGTAAAGATGACTCAGCAAGAGCAACCAATGGTAAACATGAACCAGAAAAAACAACCAGTGGTAAACATGAATCGTTCAAATGGATCGGGTAAGAATTAGGGCCGTATTAGTACCTGATTCAGGTTCTCGGAATACTCAGAACCTAATTGCATGATAAACACCAGACATACCATGAAAATAAACGATCATAGACTAGTTTACATCAAGCTATTTGTTATTAAGGCATAAACCGGTATAAAGTAGTGATGGAACCTTAAGTTTTATATTGAAAACAATGATAATATATAGAACATTTTCCCAGGAGTATTAGACCTATAAAAAGGTCCATTTACGCGCGTCTGTTAATTTAATGACACATGACTGTTAGATGTGTTTTACCGACCAATATATCAAAATTGGATACAATTACACTTTTATTTCATTATTGAGTTAAAATGAAATCTATATCAGATTCCATCCAAAAATTGAGCTTCATTAACAACATACTCTCGATCTAATGAATCTTTTATTCTCGAAGAACAAGTCATTACTTTTATATAATAGACTTGCTTATCACGTCCTGATCATTCACATTTCAGTATAAACCATGACAGCACTTGCTTCGTCAAGTATAAAGTTTCAAATCTGATTTGCTCGATCCTGAAATACTATCTTATTTCTTTTGGTGTCAAAATGTTCTTGAGAAATTAAACAGCTTGACAGAGACTCTTAAGTTTCTATGGAAACTGATTGCATGTAAAAAGGTTACATTTGTATTCTTCATATACTATGATTGATAGATAACGGACTAAATTAAAAATACGCAAATGCATAAAATATTATTGGTCAATTTTACCCGGTCGAGTAAGAGAACATTACTAAATCAATTACATGAAAGCATCATTATTTGTACACATTTTTTCTCTGGGGTAGACGGAAGACATATACGACATCAACGTAGACAAGGAAGTATAGCATAATGCCTTTAATTAGATCTGCGAGGTGATGACTGAATCTATTTTCCTTTACATACAACAGCCAGTAAATAGAGCTTCATATTTACTTCCTAGTATCGCCATTATTATAAACCTATTTTGTTGTGTTTCATATTACATTTTCTAATTATTTTCTCAACCGTCAAAACCGACAAAAAGCAAATGATAATGGTATTCATTTTTTAGTCATAAATTGCTTCGTTATAAAAGTTAAGCATATAGTTCGTTTATTGCACTATAGATCAAGACAATAACAAAGTTAGTATCTGCAGCCTTTGTATGGATCCAAGATAATCTGAATTTTATGAATGTCACTTACATAATCTAATTGCAGCTACGTTATACAAGATAAAAGATAAGGTTCAAGTTTGTTGTGCAAACAAATTTGATCTTAAAACAGCATATTGGCTACTACACATATCAATGCCTTTAAAGCATTCCATCGAATCTATTTATTTCTTATATGACAAGCTCTCTCTCCATGCTTCTTGCTATTTGTCGGTTGTCCGTTTTGTACTTTTCTGCTTTGCATATATCCTGCTTCTTTTAATTGATATTGTTAGGTATCTATCGGGTTTCTCTTTCAACTATCGATTTTGATAGGTACATGTCGATTGTCGCCATGTGATACATAACATTAGTACAAAAGTATTAAGAAAGCAAAGTGCGTGACTTGTCAGAGTTGGCTTGATGACAGTTTGATTGTGGCAAGTGAAGACAGCAATAGATAGTTCTACGTCCAACAGATTGCAACTTGTAGGCTACTCCTTGCACCCCACTCCTTGCACCCCACCCCATCGCCACTGACTATACAGCTAAAGTCCTCTCTCAACAAACCATTCCATTTCTTATCATTCTCTAAATCATTTTACCTAAAGATAAATGTAAATTGGATAAAGGAGGTTTATTATTTGATTACTTGAGACGAGCCAAACCAGACTGACTGTGTCCATCTACAATCGAAGGCTTAACTCTATTAAAGCTTAATGGCATCGACAGAAACTTTAGTTTCAAGGGATTCATTCGTATTACTCTATTAGTCAACTTTTGGTCTTTAATGAAATTAATTTTCGAGACTAACAATAAAAAAATAACATTCTAATGGTATCGACTGATCAATGAAAAATCTCTAGCTGATCATTCTTATTGTTAATTTCATTCAAGTTTTAATACAATAGTCAAAATGGCATATGCGTTTTAATTTCTTTCAGAGCATATTAAACCTTCACAATGAAATGTTAGTTAATCTGCAAGTAGAAAAAAATTATAATCCAAACAAGAAAAAACTTATCAGTATGGCATTGGCTGTACAAAATAAAGAGAAGAGAAGAATCTTCTCAAAAGAAAACAACAACTAACGTTCTGATGAATCTTGGCTACCAGCTGAACCTTTTAAAATCTCTTAAAGGTATATCCTATTAACCGTAACTTTGGCCGTCTTTTTTCGTAGTTTTTCGGAGCCGAATTTTTAAAGAACCAGATCTATAGTATTCGATTATAGACGGCGGTATTGCTTGAATGTACTTCTTAATGGCATTAGAGCTGTTAACATTAAGCCGACTATTGACATACATTCCAGGTTTGCTGGGAGTAAAATTCTGGTTTGACTTGAACTGAAGTACTCAGCAAGTCTGTAAATAGCTCAATTATAACACAGTCCTGAGTGTCAAACTCGTTAAATTTTACTGGTTAGATATCTAATCCTGCAATTTTCTTCGGTCGTTCAGTAGAGCTCCATTTTGATGGGAGGAAAATGTACTTATCAAAGTCATAATTCAAATCACAAATACAGGCCACATTTACCACCCATATCTTATTGGTGGAAACCACTGTTAAACTCGCTAATAAATCAGAAGAGGTTCAACTCACTTAGAGTACAATGACAAACCAGTCCAATTACAACAACAAAAAGTTAAAAGATTCTAGCAAAAGGTTAAGTAAGATTATACGTGGTGTTTTTACAATCATTTGAGTGAAGACACCTGCAGGAAATAAGGAAGGAAATATGAATAGTTTAACTTGTAACAGGTTATTTAGAGATCATTTGGTTGAGATGTTAACATGATAAATGACATAGATTTTACAGTAAAGCAAATTCTTTCATAGAGATCAATCTGATGGCTAATGCGACATTTTGCTGAGAATGTTTCAAAAACCCCATACAATAACCTTGTCTCTCTATAGACATCGCCTCCAGCTACTGACATTTCCTAGCATTATCAGTTGACATTTGAATGAAATTTTAACAAGCACTGACATGAAGACATTCAGCAGTAAGATATTGTGATTGGTGAAGTATACTTAAAGAAATAAATGATGGTTACTGATAATTAACTCTGTACTCTGGTTTCATTAAAGTTACTGACTTGACCCACTTTAACCAATACGTTCGACATTTTAACTGATCTGAATGGTTATAGTCAGCCGTGAAAACTCGTAAACTAATTCAAATAGAAAATGCGTCTGTCCTAAACACATAACAAAAATCATAAGCATACATTGCGATTACATTATAATCATATTGAGTGTATTACAGACAAACAATTTGTCTTTGTAGTCTACTAGAATATTGATGTAGAAAAACGTCTTATTTAGAAAATCATATGCTGAATATAATACCAAGAAAGTTTTGCAATGAGGTTTGAATTGGCCAGTCAAGAGTGTGTAAAATACCATAGTAAGGATATCAGACATTTGGGAAACAAAGGTTACAGTATAAATCAGTCTAGAATGTGTAACTGGTTTTGAAGCTCAGATGGTATATTAAAAAGTCTAAACTCTCCAGCCTCGTACAAAATACGAACCTTTTAGAAAAATCTATCGGGTTTTTCCATACAGACCAAGCTTTGTTCTTATTCTATTAAGAACTATTAAGGTACTGTTTTATTGATTTTATTTTGCCGGTTGTAATGTGAAGTGTAAAATAAGGTGTTATAGGCAGAGGCTTTGTCTAGATTGGAAGACAGCAAATCTGAAATACATAGATTTGTACACCAATGAGTAAAATCTGTTAGGATAATGAGAAGTTGGTCAGCTACAAATCTTTTCACTATTCTTGATTTAACATCGGCTTATTGGCAGTTTGTAGTAATTCACAAATTGACATCATTCAATCTTGTCTATAGCTGAACACCAATTTGAATACCAATAGAAACTTGATTAAGACAAGTTCTTCTTATTTACATTTGACTAGACGAATTGTGATTAGTTTACAAAATCTCTTGCTGGTGAAATTTCATCACAACGTTTCTTCAAATCACGATAACTATCACAACACTTGTACCACGGTTTCATGATAATCTATCAAAAATCGACATCTTATATCTTGAAGATTGATATCTTCAAATCAACTAGCCTACTTTACACAACCAAATATAAATAAACTTATCACAATTGTATTTCACAACATGCTCATGTTGTACCGTCATGTTTTTATGAATATTGTGATGCTCTTTCTTTCCGAAGGGGAGTCATAGCCTACCTGAATAGAATTGGTTGACTGACTTGGATTTTCTAAAAGTTTAAAAAAGAGGATTCAGTTTAACTTTCCTCTACTTATTAAATTTTTCTATGGTGTTGATATGATCAAAGGAGTTAAGAAAATCTATCATTTAACAATTGTGATGACCTTTAAAAGAACAAGTAAACCAGAAAGCAGATTATTGCAAATGGAATGGTTTGTTTGATCATTTACAATCTGACGAGAAATCCTATTAGAGTTATATTAACTGTATTAGTTACTTATTATATCTCTTTGGTGAGACGTTTTACACACACGACCACGCTAGTCCACGTCATCGAACCATGTGCTGCATTTCACTCATAAGACGAACATATCTATTCTCCAGAAATACAAAAAAGGTAATTTTTCAATTATTTCATTATTATTTATTATCAAGTATCAAATATACAAAATAGGCATTTATACAATATATGTCCATATACAATCGTTTAAAGGGTTGGGTAGTATTTGCTATGAATCAGCTATTGTTTGTGAATACGTCCTTTCTGTTTGAACCATTTGGGATGCAGGAAAATAAGTGACAAATGCTCACTACTGATATATAAAAGCAAGAAAAATATTGTTTCCAAAAGACCAATAATGAAAAATGAATACATGCGATGACGATATAATTATTATACAAAAAGCTCTTATGAATCCTTAAAATACAAAATAAGCGTAGAATGTCGTAAATGGCATGAAATGAAATAATGATCATTAAAAGAAAATCCTCCAAGAGGTATTCCATACATCTTCAAACATAGACGATATCTTGTTTACTTGCATGAGTCTTCATCGTCCGTGCTGTTCTTCAGAGACAGTTGATGGCTTGATCTCTTTGGACTGGACAGAAAATCGACATCAGCCAAACATTTGAACATATCGCTTCTATTGTCAGCAGAGTAACGTACAAGTTGAGATTCAAGGTGAAGCTTCTGTAACCGAGTTGATTGATACAGACCAATAGTCATCAATATATCAGCACATGCATTCCGTCTTCCTAATCCTCGAACAAACACAGCACTTAAATATTCACCTTCGGAAAATCTTGGTAGAGATTTCAAGAAAGGTGGTAAGTTATCCATTATAGTGCTGAAAGATTCAAAATCTGGAATGTTGAATCGTTTAGAATCACTTATTCAATAGAATTCCCAGTTTCTTTGGATTTGACTAGAGATATGGCAATAGAAACCTTCCTCTTTCTACTGGAACCACTTTCTTCTGAGTTCAAGTAAACGTGAACACTATGTTATTCTCAAAAGTCTGAAACTGTTACCAAAATCCACTGCTGTACTATCTGTGTAAATCTAACACTCAATACAAGCAACAACGAGAGAGCAATTCTAATATATTGTTGTTTGTCTACTAGTGTCCAGTTGTTTTATCATGTCAATCCCTAAGGTCACTGTTTATAAAGTACTCTGAAATTAACACCTTCCATTGCATGAAAAACATCAACGTGCCCTGCATGTATTTCATAAATACCAAAGACGTAGGTTCATCAGGCACGCACTTACTCTTTCACTGACGTCTTAGGACTTTGATGCGTGAGAAATTTCACAGTCAAACAAGCAAATTGTTTGTATTTGACACATTATGGTAACATGGTACGATGACAGAATATTCCATGTTTTTTTTTATATATATATTTCTAGTCTTAGTAATTCGAATTTTGCATCATTTGGATAAATGTTCCGATAGTTTCTACATTGGTATTGGCGCAAAAACAACCGATTCCGATTCTCCAGAAAGGTAAAAGGAATCCTGAATGTGGAATGCTTGATCGCATAATCAATCAGCGAAAACGAGTGCAATTCTGAAAGTTATCTTAAAATATTATGTTATTTTGTGGTTGTTTTTTCTCCCTTCGTCGTAATCTGTTCAAGAGTTAACATAACCAATAAAACAGAACCAATTAGCACATTTATTACAAACAAGACTAAAAATCGAATCCTGATCGATCGCCAACTCTCATCTTCCTTCTGACAACACAACCAAATACATAATAAGTATATAAATCAATTACTGATAAATAATATAGCCAACTCTGAATTATAGTGTGTTAGGGACGCAGTGTAAAAAAGATGAGTTAGGAATGGGTAATTGGCGTGACTTCGCATGACGGTTTGGTTGGAATAACAAAGGGGTATTATTTGGACTGGAGAGCATGTTGAAGGGGTCGTAAAGAGGTTTTCTAAACTTTTTATGTGTATCGAGGACACTGATAGCATCAATTTGCACCATTCCAAATTTCTTGCAATTCCACTAAAACTAACGCGTTTTATGACATCACGTCATAAACGCGCTAGTTCTATCACAATATTTCTATCACATGATCCTACTGAGTTCGTTCGTGTACAGTATCATGGGGGGCGAACATGGCTGGCCCATGAGAAATAGTGTCGTGATTGTGGTTTTTTCGTGTTCTATGACACGAAAGAAATGGTTTTATATTGCAGGTATTTTCTTCTATTATCAAAATTTGGGGATCCTACGTATATGGTTCATAACAAAATTCAAGGGCTTTTAGGGCCTTATTTTCTAGAATGTAGGTTTGTTGATGCAGAGATTAAATAAGATTTGATGGCAGATTTGAGTTGTTAAAATGGTTTTTCATTTATTCAACATTTTACGATATCTAAGTGTTTTATTCATCAATTCTATGATTGTGTTTGTCATCCGTTTATAACCAAGGTCATAGTAATAGTATCCGTGTGGATTTCACGGAATTATAATTTGAGTAAAAATTATTATGTACGATCTCAACAAATCATATAATAACCAATAGACAGACACAGTTTAATTTGGACTTGGTGATATAAACCAAACCATTCAAACAACTTAGTTTACCATATTAATCTCGTTACATTATATTTGTCATATATATCATTTTAGAATCCTACGTATTTTACAAATAGACTTTTTTATAGGAAAAGTATTCAAGACATTTTTAAACATTACGAAAATTGTTTTCATGTTAATTGCTTCTACTTCGAATTACTTCAAAATATATCCGCTCTTACTTGGTGTAATAGGCTAAGAATTGATGTTCAGTAACGCCCATATAAAGTATTTACAATTGATCATATGGTACTGGTTCGATCA